AGAGTTCCTGAATTATGAGCTCAATGGCAGTCTGGACTGCATAGTGGGTCTTGCAGTAAAACAAAACAACCAAGATCTGGGTACTAGAAATAAATCTTAGTGGTTAAGAGCAATTGCTGCTGTTGTAGAGATTCAGTTCCCAGCACCTACTCTGGGCCACTCACAACTGCCTGTAACTCCTGTTCCAGGGCATCTGATGCCCTTTTCTGGCCTTCACGGACACTGTACTCACACACACAAACCCACATCCAGAATACACATATAAATAAAAATAATTACAAGAATAAGCCAGGTGCTGGGGACAGAACTCAGGAGGAGAGCCCAAAGCTGACCGAGTCCTTGGCTCCATCCACATACTGAAGAAGAAAAACCAAGAAAGATCTTGGGGACATTATTTACCACTTACACCTGATTGGGGGTAAACTCAGACCCACTTTGAACAGGCAAAATGATTTATCTAATCTGGTATATGAAACTTTCATTCTTCTGGTTACCTAGGATCAATGGATCACTGTTCATTGATGTCCACCTTCATCTCCACACTAAAGGGAACTCTAAGTCCTTCAGCTTGCCCTTGAACTCTCTCACACACGTCTATTCTTCCATTCCTCCATCACAACTCATTCATATCCCTCACCTAGACACCATGTCTCTACGAGAGGTGACACATTGTCACTTTGTGAGGCAGGGAGGTGATATAGAAGGGTGTGAGATGATGGCATTTTGGGGGTCCTGGACTGTTGCCACTTCCATCTCAACCTGTCTATCTCCACACTTCTAAGTATGACTTCTCGAAGTTGGTCAGCCAGTTCAAGATGGCGCCTGCCTTGTCATGGCTACTGGCTGTGCTTAGCAGAGCCTCCCAACAAAGATTCAACTCGGGAAGTCCTGTGGGAGGTCCCTTCTCCTGGGACAAGGGACTCAAAGACCCAACAGTCCCAGCATGCTTTAACTCAGCTTTACTCTGAGACAAGGCTGAGCTAAGAACCGTGGTATGTTTTCTCCTCTTCACAGCGATGCTTTGGTGTTGCACTTTTAGGACATCCGTTTGCAAGATGCACTGATGTTCAGGTGTTGTTAAAAATCTGTCACAGGTCTGGCAACAAGAAGGGCTGTTTACTTTGTTGAGATAGCAGCACCCCCCTTTCAGGGCTGTTTATGAAGACTAACTGCACATTTGACTTTCCCTCTGCAGGACCTAGTATGTTGTCGGGCTCATGGCTACAAAAATAATGACGTGGGAATTCTTTTATCAGTGTATTTTTCTTTAAACTTCCTTGAGAGCGCTTCTTTGGTGTAGAATGAGTAGTGTTCTGGGAGAGGAATTGGCTGAGTGGTATTTTTCTGTTTATGAAGACAGTGTCTCTTTGGAAAGACAGGCTGAGTATTTTGTGACAGCCCCGGGGAAGTTGTGAGCAGTCTCCAGTTCCACACAAGGGTGTGTCTTGGGATTGCCTTTTGAGAGTGCTGGGAGTTGACTATCTTCCTGGAAGCCTTAGGCTATGGGGGAAGACACTTCCCATCACCTTCCTCAGTTAGAAGTCTTTCTCTAGTGTCCTGAGATTTTAAAGTCCACATCCCTTATCAGACATGCCAGCGCACCCTGTTGGTGCTCTGTTGGTGATTGCCATGGCTTGCCATTTAACTGTTAGAGGCCCACTTCATATTTCAACTGGCCCCAGACCCTGCTTGGGAGGGGGGCAGGGCTCATTTTTCTTCCTCCCACAAGGCCCATTAGAGTGTCATGAATAAACTGGCAAACTGTCTGCTGATTGATAGGTCTAAAATTATGTTTGTCCTGCACTTTCAAAAATGTCATTCCTGGGACGTGTTGAGGAGCCTTCTCTGGGGCTCCTTGTAAATGCTGCAGGTTCTCACTTGATTGGGGTGAGCAGAGTGAGGTCTTTAGAGGCCTCAAAATAGCCCCTGGTTCCAGATTCGGAGTGATCTGAACTTTATCTTGAATATAATGTGTTGAACTCATGCAGCATAGTCTGTGAGGAGACATTTTATTCCGATGGAAGGGTAGCAGCCAGACCTGTGGTGCAGGTCCACAGGAGAATGTTCTCTAGTTCAGAGAGCAGGAGAGAGAGAAGAGAGAGAGGTAGTGAGGACAAGGATGGAGGTTGAGGACAGAAGGCTCAGAATATTTTCCCATGACCTTGTTTGGAAGAGAGCAGATACATTAGTTTTCTATCACCTCTATAACAATATAAATTGTCCAGGGACTCAAAGCAATATACACTTTTTTTTAAGACAGGGTTTCTCTGTGTAGTCCTGGCTCTCCTGGAACTCAAGAGGCCCACCTGCCTCTTCCTCCCAAGCGCCAGGATTAATGGTGTGCGCCCCCGCCGCTTGGCGCCACATTTGTTCTTTATTGTGCTGTTTCGCTTTGTGATAAATAGCTAAGGCAGGCCAGTCTACAGAGAACAAGTGTATTCCCTCACAGTTCTAGGGTCTGGGAACATGAAGGAGCTGGGGTTCTGTAAGGGTCTCTGACTCCCCTCATGGTGGAAGGTGAGAGAGCCATTCTCGTGCGCTTGTCCTGTCATGAATCTATTCAAGGGGGTCAAGCCTTATGACTGAATATCCCCAAAGGTCGCATCTCCTAACACCATGAATTAGGGCCACATACAGACCACAGTACTTTTCTCCTGACTGTCTAGGTCAGAAGTCCAGGAGGGGGTCTTGGGGTCTAATATCAACATCTCCTGTCGGATACTGCCCTGAGACCTGGGATTTCAAAGCTCTGAGACCTGAACCTGCTTCTCCTCTGTCCTTTCCATCTCAGTAAAGCACACACCACTTCTCTGGTATATGCTCAGGCCAAACAGAGTTACCCACAACTCTTTTTTCTAAGCCCATTCCCAATTCCAATTGGTTCAACCTTCAGAATTACATTCAAAATCCAGTTATTTCTCAGCCCCTCTTTTGTAGTAATTTTAAAAGAATGGCTGTCGGGCTATATAAAGTTTATTATTAGCTCTAAGAGTATCACAGCGATATTACTTAACCCACTATCACAAATAATAAGACACAGACACCTGTGAGATTTTATAATTGCCTTATTTATTTTGGGCTGGGCAGATATTTCACTTACACTGTCTCAGTATCCTCACCATCCATCTCCCAGCCCCCACCCAATGCCATCTGCCTTAATCCTCCTCATCCTCCTCTACCTTCCATACATATTCCCATGGTACTTGCTTGTATTTTTCATCTGGGCCATTTCACACCATTATTGGAGTCCTATCTCTTGGCCCACGTGGTTATTTCTCCATGCTAACCCATCAGGGCATCCTCCTTCCTCCATCCCAGATTCCCTGTCTTCCAAGGCCCCGGGAACCTTAGCCACACCTACCTTATTTTGTCCTGCCCAGGTACAGGCCGTTTAATCAACCAATCAGATATAATGACATAGGTTTACACAACAAGGATGGGTTTACACAGCTGAGATGGGTTTACACAGCTGAGATAGGTTTATGTTCTGAGCAGGGACAAGAGCTTGGAGGCCAGTAATTAGCATCAGGCCAACCTCCAACACCCTTCATATCGGGATCCTACAGCAGGACTGTGACTGGCTGTGTGTCTTCTTCTTGATTCTGCCCCCAGTATGCAGCCAGGGGATCTACTCAACTGTCCCTTGTCTGCTCCCAAGTACTTGTCTCATTCAGGGTTAAAAACAAAGGCTTTATGACGGTCTGAGGGGAGCAGCCTGGCCAGCCTGTGCTGGCCATTGTGGTTCTTGGCCATCACACACACCAGCTTGCTGCCTGCTCTGAGAGGCAGAGTCAAGGTCAAAGAGGAGCACTGGGTCCCTCTTCATGCTCTGCATGCTCCTTTCTCCCTTTCTCGCCTGACAGTCAGGAGTGGGTTTTTTCCTGCGAGACAGACCATTGACGGAAACTGAATCCTCTAAGGGGTTCGTGTTCTTCAACACAATGACAAACCTGAACTCATTTCTGGTCCCGCTGCTCTTTCACCCAGATAGGTCAGAAAGCGCAGCGGCACCGGAAACTGTTGTTGAGGTTTGAGGAGGGTACAGCCGCTGTTGGTAAAAGGCAAACAGCAGAGCAGGATGGGTCCTACTTTTCGTTAATCACAAGGGTCTGCCAACCTCCCTCTGCTCAGCGGCTTTCGCTCCGGGGACTCCACACCAGCCATTCTTTTCTGAGACAGGGTTTCTCTGTGTAGCTTTGGCTGTCCTGTCCTGGACTCGCTTTGTAGACCAGGCTAGCCTCAAACTCACAGAGATTCATCTGCTTCTGCCTTCCAGAGTGCTGGGATTACAGGCATGAGCCAGCGTGCCTGGCTCGCCTCAGCCGTTTTTAAGAGCAACTTTTTGTGTGTTTGTGTGTTTGAATATAGCAGCAGGTAGGGCGATGTAGTTTGCATGCCAAGTCTTTTCTTTAAAGGGGGAAAAAAGCAGGCAGTATGGGGACGAGTGATCCCTCCATACACCTTGTCCTGCTCTTTGTACTGAGCTGGTTCAATACATGATTTTAATTTATTTATTATTTATACTGTACTCTGCCTGCATGCCAGAAGAGGGCACCAGATCTCCTGATAGATGGTTGTGAGCCACCATGTGGTTGCCGGGAATCGAACTCAGAATCTTTGGAAGAACAGCCAGTGCTCTTAATCACTGAGCCATCTCTCCAGCCCCCCAATACATGGTTTTTGAATGGAACTACCACACTTTAAAGGGTTAACAGATCCATCTGTAATCCTCACACCCAGGGCTGTGGCGGGAGAATGGAAGAAACGAACCTACAGAGGCATGTCTTATGAATTTGAGGCCAGCCTCAGTAACATAAGGAAACCCCAGTTCAAAAAGAAAGGAAAAAGAAAAAAAAAGTCAGTAAACGTGCCAGACGGTGAATCAGTTATGCACAAACAAGGTCTAGAATAAAAAGGGGGGGGGGGGTAGAGTCCAAAGGATTTCAAGGTATCTAGGGTGCCTGTGGGCTGATGTGCTGTGTCTTGTGTTTGTCCCATAGGTCATCGCCTGTGAGCAGCAGTATGACTCGTCCTATGACGCTCGCTGTGACGTCTGGTCCTTGGGCATCACAGCCATTGAGCTGGGCGACGGAGACCCTCCCCTCTTTGAAATGCATCCTGTGAAAATGCTCTTTAAGATCCCCAGGTAGGACAGCAGATGGCGCTCTTGACCCGTCGGTGCTTCGTGACACCGGTCTCGGAGGGAAACTCATTGGTATGCGGTTTCTCTCCGAATCTGAGAAAGCCTGATTATGAAATATGTTTCCTTTTCAAAAAGAAGAGGGAAAGCAACGAGGCTGGGGGTGGGGGGAGACCCAAGGAGAGGATGTTTCTGCAAGGTCACACTTGTGAGAAACGACGAGAGCGTGGACCAGGTGCCGACCGCCTGCACGACAATTCTTCCTGAAACGTTCATTTTTCTGGGCGAGGAACACAGGCGCAATTTAGGACCGTAAACACTGAAATTCCCTTTTCAAGTATATTTTCCTTAGTGTTTCCGGGCTCCCCAAAAGACATGTTTCCGTATTGTACCCACTCAGGACGGCAGTGACTTCTCTCTGAAAGTGTCTCGTTTTCCACGGGCCTTATTCTTCACCCCTAACTTCCAGCTCACTGGGGAAGTCCTCTCCGAGAAGCCTCCGAGGTGACTTAGAGGCGCCTCTGTGTTTTCTGTTCTGTGTTCACTCAGGCTCTGCCCACGAAGTGTGGTTCTCTCCCAAGCGTGGAGCTGATCTACGTTCAGAAGGGCAAACGGTGGGGAGCCCAGCCCAGCCTGGGTGCAGACTGACAGATAATTTGTATTTTCCAAATGAGTCTTTCAAAGGAAGACTCCAGGCCGTTGAATCGGCGCCACGGTACACGTGTTGACCTTCTCTTATCCGCACAAAAACGCAGCTATCTGCAGCCTTTACACATTTCTGGAGATTGCAATTTGCATTTCTGATTAGTTCTATTTATATGCAGATGGAGCTCTCAAGCGTTCATCATCATAATATTACCATTTTATACCTAATCCAGATGCGAACAAACCAACAGCCAACATTCCAAAAACAGACCCTCAGTAGAGCCTTTTCCAAAACACAAAAACAAGCGATGGTGATCTGTGGAGCAGATGAGCTTTTTAATTAATAGTCTGGTGAGCATTCAAAGGGACACGAGGATGCAGAAGCCAATTTCAGCACAGGGAGCAGTAACGTGTGAGGAAGCGAGAACCGGGTGTGCAGGGATTCTCTGTGCGGCTCAGTACGTCACGAGTGCTTGCTCAGTGTGGCAGCGCAGCTTCCCAGACGGCAGCAAGTTTCAGGAGATGTACACGCATTCAACAAGAGATTTACTTGGGTCTAGTTCTTCTTTTCTTTTTTCTTTTTTTTTTTAAGTATGCATTCATGTACAGATCAAATGTTCAAAAGTCACCTAGGCTGATAAATTGGAGGCAGCTGAGGAAGGTGTAGTGTGTGTGTGTCACACACACACACACACACACACACACACACACACACACACACACACAGGAGAGTATATGCATTTGAGGCAATAGGACCCTTCATCTCCAGTGACAACTATCCAGCTAACTCTGTGTCTCCAGCCTCTGCTCTCTGATTGTTTCTTTTCTAGCTCTCCACTCCCTTCTTGCATTTTGGGAGAAGCCTTCAGATCTAGATAGAAATAAAGATAAGGAAACTCCGGCTCCTGACCTTGATGGCTCCTGGAACAAGGGCACCTGGGGGAACTCAGCCTTAACCCTGGCTTACCCTGAAGCTCTGTCCCTCTCCCTTAAACTTCCTGCCTTTCTTTTCCTGGTTCAGATGTTGGGTCAGACAGTATCAGAATAATAGTTTGGCAGATTCTCTGTGCGATTACTTGGACTCTACATTTGCCATTGTCACAACTCTAAGGGGCTGGCTGGACATTCTTGGGCAGAAAGAAGTCAAACAAATGACAGACACAGCCTAACTGTTGAAACTGTATAGCCGATTTCTTCCCACACCCTGGCAGAACTTTATGGGCTTATATTCACCAGGTTATTTCTTTAAGAATTATCCTCTTAGAATCACATGCTTCTCTCTGAAGGGTTATGGATTTGACTGAGCCGTGTGTGAGTGTGTTGGCTCATTGTGAGGGCTAAAAATGTATCATTTCCTCAGAAAGCGCTCTTTGATGGAGAATGAAGGAAATTAAGTGTTTAAATTTTAAAAACTCTTAAGTACATTTATTTATTTATTTATTTATTTATTTATTTATTTATTTGGAAGGCATGGAAGGGTGTGTGTGTGTGGGTGTGTGTGGGTGTGTGTAGAGGTCAAAGGACAACTTTTGTCCTTCTTTCTGATCCCAGGGATTGAACTTGGGTCGTCAGGCTTGGAAGCATCTTTACTCACTGAGTCACCTCACTAGCTCCTATTTAAATATTTTTAAAATCCAGTTGAATTATTGGCTTTTGTATTTCATGGGGGTAGGTACCTCCCTGCCCTGCTCCTCCCTCTCCCTTCCCTGCAAATAACATTAATGACAGAAATTCTTGATTCTATTTGACTTCAGGTTCTTTTTTTTTTTTTTTTTTTTTCAATTGAATGTATTTTCAGTGTACTGGAATTTTTTTTTTTTTTTTCTATTAAGCAGTGAGGTCCACTTCATGGTGCCCTGAGATCTGGAAAATGGGCGGCTCCCTTCCTTGGATTTCCCTACTGGCCTCTTCCCTGCAATTATTTCATTCCTAGAAACAAACTGAGCAAAGGACTCGGTGGGGGAAGCAAAGCCTGACTGACATGGAAGGAGTGGGTGCCTTTCAGAAGTTAGGAGGACTGAGGAGTGAATGACCTTGTGCTGACTGGTGAGGTGGGAACCTCAGCTGTCAGTTCAGGCGGTAATTACCCGAGCTCCCTGGGCACGGTCGGAGCCATGGAGCAGGACCCGTCTGTGTGGGGTTGATCTGCGGCTCTCCTCTCTGCTTCCACCTGCTTTCCCCTCTCCCTTGACCTTCACATTGCAAGAGGACCTGTCTTTGAAAAGCCGTGTGACTCACACTTCTTCCTACACTGCAAACACACAGGCATTAGCTACTGATTGGCACGGCATCTACTCTGTGCTGAGCCTGTCAGCACGTGTCATCTTGTCGAACACCTTCCCTTAAAGTCACCCCCTGATTGCTGATGCTGCTTCCCCCCACCCCCGCCCCGAGTCAGAAGAGAGGAAGAGAGTGAGCATTTCCCTGAGCATCCATAGATTTCATCCTTACACGCCCTTTCTTGAAGATGCTGTTTAAAATTCCAAAGGCTTGGAAGGACCGTGTGTGTGTGTGTGTGTGTGTGTGTGTGTGTGTGTGTGTGATATATAATTATATTATCATATATATTACTTTAGAGGGGATCTGTTTCACAGTTATAATTTCACGGATCAGTAGGGGTAAGAGAAATGTACAATTATGTTGGTGTCTTGGTAACCACCTATCTTTCGTTAGCTCAGAGTCTTTGGTTAATGATTTCCTTTGTCCACTGTGGGTGGTTCGGAAGCGTGGTGGGGGTCTGTGTGGCTACAGTGTGGGTTTACTGAACAAGCCCTGAGAGCAACTCTGTGCACTCATTTACTCAGAGCCAATGAAGGAAGGCTTTGATCAGCGTCTTGAGACAAACTTCAGGCTTCCTCATTACTCTCTGTAGAGAGAGAGAGAAAGAAAAAAGACAAGACACCCCCCCACACCTGCCCAATTCCCAGTAGAAACTCTCCTGATCATTCCAGTCTTCCGAACTAGTGATTGCCTTCCCCAAAGAGAGTTCGCCTGATCCCCATAATGAGCAGTCTCAGGAGGGAGAACTCATGACTGCCTCTGCTCACCAAATCTATGGGTTCCAGGATCACCTGTTCCAGGGCTGCCACAACAGATTACTAGAAACTTGATGGGTTTGAACAATCAAAACTGATTCTCTCATGGTCCTGCAGGCCATAAGTCCAAGGGGGCAGAATCAGTGGAGCTGTGCTCCCTCTAGAGTCTCCTGAGAAGCTGTTTCTGGTGGCTCTTGGAGGACCGGGGTCTCCAGTCTTCTGTGCTTCACAGTCCTCTGCAGTCTGTCTTCCCCTGTACCTCTTCCAGAGACACGGGATCCCAATCCAGAATCACACCTCTCCAGAGCAACAATCGTACCTCCATTGTCATTTCTGCAAAGACCCCGATTCCAAATGAGGTCATCTGCTCAAGCCACAATTCAACCTAATACCTTAACCAGCTTTCCTGGTCCCCAGATTCCTTGTGAAACTAATTGGGAGGCAAAACTCCCAAACATCTAGCTACCGGGTGGTGAGAAAGGAGAAACGAATGATGCGAAACTCGAAGCTGAGACCTTGTGAGTGCTCCTAACTAGCACTCTGTTTTACCAACGTGTGTGTGAGCCACACAGTGGCCCTAATAAGTCACTTAGTTATTGGCCTTTTAAACGACGAACCTTCACAATCCAAACTTCACTCATAAAGCAAGTTGTACCAGGAGAATTACCAACATTTAGCACTACCTATCGCCAGCCCTTTTCTGGGTTAGATAACTGAAAGTCCACAGAGGTTTCGCAGCTGTTGTCTGTTCTGCACGTAGGAGGAGCAATGATTTGAATATGAGGAGCCTGGCCCTGAAGCCCACTTATTGTGCTAGCATGCTGAAATGTTAAATCCTTCCTGATTTTATGCCAAGCAGTGATGGGTACCTGGGTGCAGAGAGAAAGACAGGAGACAGGTCCAGCCTTTAAGAAGCTTATGGCTTAGCATCCTGTCCTCACTCCCAATTTTTAGCTGATGCTAGCAACCTAAAAGTCAGAGACTGTATTAGCACCAGTGATTGTGTCAGTTAAAGGAGCTGAGAACTAGACTGAGCATCATCTTAGGGACACAGGACATCAGTCTTTGACCCCCCCCAATCTAGAAGTCTGTACCCTCTGTAAACTCCCGTTCAAGCAACTGCCTTTCGTTTCCTAATTTAGAATACTTTAGAGCTTGAACTAAAGATTTGTAGAACATGTTACATAAGAGCAGAGAGATGCTTCAGAACAGCATTCTTTATATCCAGAAGTTTCTGTTCATGGCACACTCTTTGCAAACTGGTATCTGCCAGGCCAGGACTATTTTTGGGATAGCCAGCATCTTCTATCTTGCCAATCTCTTTTC